AGTGTATCAAACTGGGAAGATATAAGTTCATCCTGTACGGTCGTTATGAATCATGCCATCGCGAAGACAGGGCCATCTGCCTCAAACACTCCATGATGCTTGTTTCAGAGTCCTGCGACGGTAGGCTGGAAGTACGATCATATCAAGTTCGGTTGTGATCTTCCTTGTCCTGGAAGCTTCCTAGGTAGTTCTCCAGTACATCGATGACATCCTTCTGTGCACCTTTACGCTCCTCGATTTGTGCGCGTTGGGTATAGGCCTGTTTCTTCTTTGCACCAACAGCTTTGCGATGCGCGCGACTCCTAGTGTGAAGAGTCCAGTCATTCTCCGTAACAGCTATAGTGCCACAGGTATCACAAACTTTCCTCTCCCATAGATCCGGTCGCTGTGCGAGATCGTAGTCTCTTGTTGGGGTGAGCATGTCCGCGGCGACAGGAGAAAGTGCAATCGGCACCGGAAGTGATTGGCCGCTCAGAAATTGTTGAGTGATTGTCACTGCGGGCTGGACGACATCTTCTTCCCACCTAGACAGGTCAGAACCATCGACAAGGAAGGTAGTGTTCTTCGCATCCGCATGTATGAGTGCATTCAGGAGTTTGATACGTATCCACTTGATTTGTCGATTAGCATACTGCCTGGTAGCTGCCTGAGTCTTTTCGATCGCGATATGCTTCTGTTTGGCGAGCTCAGATTCAAAGGTCGCCTGATTAGTACGCGCGTTCTGATATTCCAAGAATTCTTTATAGCCTATAGACACCCAAATACCGCGTGAGGTGTCTATACTGGAGTTTGAGCGAGACATTTCGCGTTCTCGGTAGTCACTGAGCTGTTGTACTTCATCCAGTAAGCCTCGTTGTAACATCTTGTCAACGCGTGCATCGAGTCGCGGATACAACACAGCCTTGTTTGCATGGACCCAAATCACTAGAGTTGGGAAGCGTAGACTTGAGCGATCTTTGATGCTATCCTCGCCTATCGTCTTAGACGAGGATGCTCGCAAACTTCGCTGCTCGCTGTAAAGCTGTGAAGCAGGCTTGCCTGTCCTGAGAAAGATTTCCAGAGACCGTTGGATCTTTCGTCGCTCATTGGGGTGCCAGCGATCTGCCATGACGGGGTCAACTTCTCTTAATTTTGCATGAATCGTAGCTGTAGGCTCTTGTAAGATGGGGAATTTCTGGTTGTCCTCGTGCAAATCCAACGTTGGCTCATCGGTCAGGGCATCTTGGAAGAGAAGCGATTGAGTGTAGTAATGAGTACCACCAACTAGGATTGGTAATTTGCGTCGACTCTGGATCTCATCGATCTGACATTTTTAGTTTGAAACAGGCAGTCAACATGGACAACATACGATACGCAGCCCCTCGCCTACGAATTTCCCGACTGTCCATGTCTCTTCCTCGAGCCCAATACAACCTAATAGATGGTGTGGCACTCCTTTGGCCTCTTCAGAAGTAATTTTATTGGTGATGATGGGGAGACCACGATATAGTTGCATTGCATCGCCATTGATAATCTCGCCATCCAATCTGCGCGCAATCTCGACGGCTAACTAACTGTAGTGATCAGCATTGGATCGTCTACTATGGCTCTGACATGCATACATCCGACTTTCCTGTCCCGGTGGCACCAACAATGGTGATTAGAGGCTTGACTGGCGCCCGGGCCATATTGATAGTACGTAAGGACCTGAAGGTTCGAAGCATACGATGTGTAGTCGAGTGCACGTGTGGTGGTGCATGGGGCAAAACTTGGGACTTGTCAACTTGGTTAGCGTCGAAAGGGTCCACTAGTTCCAGAGGTCGTACCGGTACCGGTACCGGTACCTAAGAACTAAGCTAAGTAGACACGATATGGTATGATGATGGCTCAAGATGTAAAAAGATGCGTTACACATCCTCCAGCTGCCTGAATTCTTGCTTATCTAGGCATCAAAATTCCATGGGCATGTCGGATAGGCTTGATGGTGATCCAACTTCCCAGACTAGGTATGTTCCACCCAGTCCCAACGAGGAAAACATTCCCAATGGTTTATTCACATTTCGTGAACGCCACAGTCACAGCCAACAATGGAAGATTGATAGAGTAGCATGAAGACGTTGCTGCGAGGCCAGCCAAGTTCCGCATGTCCAGAGTATGGGAATGTCATGAGTCTTGCTTGGTCAAAAGACTCAAAGCCATCAAGCGCCCGTTCCACACGCTAGAAAAGTCTGCAAAAACAAAACTGCTAGATAAATAGCCATGGAATTGAGATGGCACTTAGTATGTACTGTGTAATGGTCCCAAGAATGGAAGAGGGCAAGGTTGAAGGAAATCTTTGTTAGTTGGTGTTTGTTGGGCCCGTCTATTCCGAGCCTTCCAAATTTTCTCTCCTTTCCCTTTTCCTTTTCCTTGTCCTTTCCCTTTCCCTTTCCAGACCCTTTTGCCCGTTCCAGACGGCCCGTAAAGATCGCCTCGCTTCTTTCAATACCGCATCAATATTACCGGACAATTACAAACACCGATGGAGCTCCGCTTTTGCGCCGCCACGGCCAGCCCAGCCTGTGCATCTAATCTTATCAGATCCACTCTTCCAGTGAACTACCACCACACAGAGTACGCCGAAGCATTTCACCAACCCAACTACCTCCCGGGCCCCCGTTTGTGGCTCGCCAGAATTTTCTCGGTTTGTTCTTCGTGCCGAGGGGAACCACAAGCCTGGCCCGCCGTATAAATCAAGGTTCAGCCGCTGATGCAAAAGATCCAGCAAATCAGATTGATTCCTTCTATCAGACCATCTCTCGGGTCCGCAGAGTGTACATGTAGTGCTGTGCTACCAGTCCTTCCGCTTCTCAAGATTGTACACTGCACTGAGCTATCCAAACCATTCACCTCCTTTCATCATGGCAAGTGCAATGGATCCAGCCTACGTCAAAGATGACAAAGATCCCATGCATACGCATGTCAAACCCGAGCAAAGCAGCCCCACCCTGAAACCATTGATTGGCGACAAGTCTCCGGGTGTGGCAAGAATCGAGGCTTTGAATGCGCATACTACACTCGCTAATCGTGTCTGCATCTTCATCGGTCTCTTCCTGGTAGCCTATGCCTATGGACTTGATGGAACACTGCGATACACGTATCAGCCATACGCTACCTCTGGCTTTCAGCAGCACTCTACCCTTGCTACGATCAACGTCCTGAGAAGCGTCATTGCTGCGGCTGCACAACCCACTGCAGCCAAGATTGGTATGTCTCTGGTCCGTCTGTAGCGAGTCTGCCCACTCACAACTCGCAGCTGATGTCTTCGGCCGCATTGAAATCGTCGTCCTGTCCATATTCTTCTACATCCTAGGCACTGTAGTCGAAGCGACCAGTACTGGTGTAGCAGCCTTCGCTGCCGGCGCTGTTCTCTATCAACTGGGTTATACAGTCATCATAGTACTCATTGAGATTATCATCGCTGATATCACATCTCTTCGGTCCCGTCTCTTGTTCTCTTACGTGCCCGCGATTCCTTTCTTGATCAACACATGGATCAGCGGCGATGTTAGTCAGGCTGTACTGGAGTCTACGACCTGGCGTTGGGGTGTCGGCATGTGGTGCATCATCTATACGGTTTGCTGTATCCCGTTGACGGCTTCACTGCTGTGGGCACATACGAGAGCGAAAAGAGCTGGTGCTCTCGACGATTTCAAGACACCGTACCAGGTGCATGGACCGAAAAAGCTTCTTGCAGCGCTGTTCTGGCAATTGGACGTCCCTGGAATTATTCTGGTGATAGCGGTGCTTGGCTGCATCCTTACTGTAAAGTCTCGTCTATTCCCAAGCTCTTCAAGTCTGACTAACGTATATAGCCATTTACTATTGCGGGTGGCGTCTCGTCTCAGTGGCGTACTGCAAAAGTGATAGCCCCCCTGGTTATCGGCATTCTTTGCATACCAATGTTCATTGCGTGGGAGATGAAGGCACCTCATCCCATGCTGCCCTTCCATGTATGTTTGCAATTTTGAGTTTCCTCGTTGCCACACTGCTAACAACATCTACCAGCTTCTCAAAGATCGTGCCGTCTGGGGCGCTTTGGGCATTGCATGCACTTTGAATTTTGGTAAGTTTATACGGCATCGCTCCAGTGTCATGGCTTAACCTTCCTTAGCTTGGTATATGCAGGGCGATTTCCTGTACACCGTCCTCGTAGTGGCTTTTGACGAGTCTATCAAGAGCGCCACTCGCATTTCGTCCCTGTACAGCTTTTCCTCTGTCATTACTGGCCTCATTCTCGGTGGCATTGTCTTCAGAGTCCGTCGCCTGAAGCCTTTTATTGTTGCAGGAACATGTCTCTTCATGGTTGCCTTTGGTCTCTTGATACACTACCGTGGCGGTAGTGGTAACGATGCGCATAGTGGTATAATCGGTGCTCAGATATGCCTAGGCATAGCAGGAGGAATGTTCCCTTATCCGACGCAAGCTAGTATTCAAGCTGCGACAAAGCATGAGCGTAAGTAAGTGGACAAATTGGTAGAGCCAATGCTAACTTTTGCTAGACGTGGCTATTGTAACTGGAATTTATCTCGCCGTCTACAATGTTGGAAGCGCATTGGGAAACACAGTGTCAGGGGCCATGTGGCAGCAGATCATACCTGGAGAGCTCCTCCGGCAGACTGGGGATCCCACCCTCGCGGCCACCGTATATGCCGATCCTTTCACGTTTGCGTCGACATATCCAATGGGCACCCTTGAACGTGAGGCTGTTGTAGCTGCTTATCGGCACGTGCAAAGACTGCTTTGCATTGCTGGTATCTGCCTGTCGGTACTGCTCATCGGATTCTCATTGGCACTTCGAAATCCGAAGCTCGGCAAGGAACAGAGCTTGGAAGACGCAGAACAGTCGGCCACCGGTTCTGAGGCGAAGACCCTGGAAGCTGGGAACATCTGGGCTTGGTTGCGAAAGTAAACATCGCGCGAATAGCGCCATGGAGTTCTTGTGGATGTGGAGCAAGAGGCTGTGGTGAATAGAGTTGACTGCGCTGTATTCTTGGGGTCGTTCAGCACGTCGAGCGAAGAGTGACAGGTCATCATCTTACATGTCAATATGATAATATAATTTCACAGAGCCAGAGGTGTGCTGTCATAGTGCACACTTGACGAGACTCTCCTAGAACGCCCTGACATGTTGAATAAGGAAGGGGTATCATCGTTGAGAAGCTCCCAAACGCCTGTTGAATTCCAGCGACCGCATTTGTTGAAGCCCATGGTCTCCTGCATCTCCTGCCCCTTGTTCAGATATAGCCCCGTCTACTCTTCCGCTCTCGTCTCAGCGCCATAACCACCCTTGCCCTCCAGACTTTCATATGTCTTGCCCTCGCCCTTGCCGTTCCTTGGGCCACGCTCATTCAAGTCTTCCTGAAGCCACTTGAGGACAAGCTCACCCAGTTGGCTGTTTCCCGTATACAAGCGTGCACCCTGTTCCACTTTGACCTCCATATCCTCGACGCTACCCCACTTCTTCACCCTGCCGAGGCTCATGTGCACCAGATGTGTCGGCCATGTGGCGAGGTTATCGAGGATGTGGGTGGCGTACACAATGGTGCACGCCCGTGTTTCGGTTTCCTTTTTCAAAAAGTTCAAAAAGTTGCTGCGCGAGAGCAGATCCAAATCTACAGTGATCTCATCGAGCAGCAGGATCGTCCACGGCCGGAGGAGACCCATGGCCAGCTGGACCCGTCTTCGCTCGCCGTCGGACACGGCGTGCATGCGCCAGCTGAGATCAATGTCGAGTATGCGCACGAGCTCGTCGCGACGCTCGGGGTAGTAGTCGCCGCCGATGGAGGCGAGAAGGGTGGGCACGTCGATGTCGGTGCGGACGATGGGGTTGAGCACCCATTCCAAGCCGAGGTAGGTCACGCCTTCGAGGCCCATCTTGAACGGGTCGACGCCAGCGATGGAGACTGAGCACGAGGGTGCCATGCGCTTGCCGGACAGCAGGCGAAGAAGGGTGGTTTTCCCTGCGCCGTTGGCTGTGCGGTCGTCAGCCATCTGCCATTGAAGGCGCGCTCAAAGCGCACGTCACGTCATAGCATGTCATGTAATTCACCTCCGATCAAGAGCGTCCTGCTGCCAGGCGGCAATTGCAAGAAAACCTCCTTGAGCCCACTCGAGCCGTCTGGGAAGAGGTAGCTGAGATTCTTGACGTTGATTGACGGCGCAATGGCCTTGGAGTCGGCTGTGTCCGTCATCGTGGAGATGGTTGGATATGTGTTGTTGAACTAGCTAATTGGCTTCTCAAAAGCCCTGGGGTGGTGGTGGATGAGCTACATCTTATACCTACCCACCCCCACCGTTCTTTGTGTGGAGTCGCATTTGGGACGATTTCACGTAGACATGTCTGCCGTCATCATCGTGACTAGCGTGCTTTCGGTAACGTCAACTCTCCTCTCGCCTGGGACTTTGTGGACGAACGCGGTGGACGGCGAGAAGATGAAAAAAATGGTGAATTATTGGATAGGGCACGCATGCCACGCTCCATGAATCTGCCAGCTGGCGACAGCATTCATGTATATGTAAGCAAAATAGACAACCAAGCTCAATACAAACGGTCAAGGACACGGCCAATGTGCCTTGTCGCACCAAACTAGAAGCGCTTTTCTATTCTTGAACGGTTTTGCGCCAGATAGAGTAAGATGGTCTTGCAAAGAAAATGGCTAAATGAGCAGGGCCGAGACAGGACGGAGTGATGATAGCCGGCAGGAGAGGGAGACGCAGCGTTGGTATCAGACTTGAAGTGAATTTGCATCGACTTGCTTTGCGCATTTCGCCGCGGGCACAGAAACTCCAAAATCGCCGAGTGCGGGACGGTTGGCATTTGGATCGCGGGATTGGACCTTGCCCTTCTTCCTCGGTCGCACTCGCGGTTGTTCTCCAACGACCTGTGGCCAAGACACAATGGTGCGGCGTTTGACGGCAGTCCCTCGGCCACTTCATGTACGCGAATGGCAGGACTCTCGAAGCCACAGCGCTGCGGTCTTCGCTTTTCCATCCAGCTTCTTGTGCGTAGAGGAGCAAATTGTGAATCTTCACAGTAAGCAAAAAAAAAAAATGGGGGGGGGGGGGGGGGGCAACTGAGCTTCAAGGAAGAATGGGAATAATCAGCAAGTACCTAGTGGATGCTATACCTGTGTTGCGTGCATGTACCGTAATATTCAGGACTTTCAGGACTTTCAGGACTTTCATAGACTCGAAAACTACACCAACTTCGTCGACATTGCCCTAGGAGGAGCGTCTTATTTGGGCAACGCCCAGATACTAGGTTCAATCAATACACTGCGTAGATTTGTAGTACATATTGCCTAGAACTATACATGATATCTAGCATGCAATATAACAGCGTTCTAAGCATCGCCTTCTCGCCCACTCACCACAGGCCCCTGCAAATGAAGGAACGTTGCCTCGCCCACTCACCACAGGCCCCTGCAAATGAAGGAACATTGCCTCCCCCCATAGTCGAGCCACGAGACGAGCTGGAGGCGCACACTGAAACACTTGCGCGGACCGATCTTTGGGAAGTAATTAGGGAAATAGACAGGAGGTATGGTGCCGGTGCGAGCAGTTAGGTTTGGTATAAGATGGACGTGGGCTCCGCATGCAAATATCATTTTTCGCTCACTTCACCCGACATTCCTTTACTTTTCCCTTTTACGATTCGAGATAGAGCTTCAAAAATGTTTACCAGCACATTCATTTCAGTCCTTGGCCTCGCCTCTAGCACCCTCGCCGCACCGCACAAGTCCAAGCCCGTCACCACCCGTGCAGACCCCTCATGCCCCATCGTCTTCGATGGCCGCGTCCCCGTCAACACCACCCCTACCTTCTTCGACACAGCGCCGCCAAACAACCTCTTCAACCCAGACTTTGTCAAGGGCAACAACCTGACCTGGTCTCAAATCCTCAAGTTCCCGGGCGGCGAACCCAGCCGTTTTGACGGCACAAAGTTTATGCCGGTCGAGGTGACCTTGTCCGACCAATCCATCTTCCAGAAACAACTCGGGTTCCGTCGTGCGGGCCTGCAGTTCCAAAAAGATGCGCCGGATGGTGAGGGTGGCAAGGGCGTTAAGACGCTTCACTGGAGCGTCAAGCAGGATCCTACCCGACCGCTCAACCTGACGCATGAGTACCTGAATGTGTGGCATGAAGCCGCGGATTTCAGCAATAACCAGATCCAATTCCAGACTGGAAGTCTGATTGGAAAGAGCGCTGCGGATAAGAACAAGTTCAAGATCCTGGATAGGGATGGCAAGCAATTGCACAGTGTGCAGATTGATCAGAAGCGATGGCAAAACTTCGCCATGAAGTTGGACTATGTTAAGAAGTATGTCACCCTTCTTTTCCTTCCATCCATGTTATTCTTTGGTAAAGATGAATACTAACAGCCCTGAAAAGCCAAGTCACCATCTTCTACTCTGTTGGCAACGACCGTCTCGAATCGGTTGGCGCTCCCAAGGCCGTCAACCTCACTGGCGGTGGCCAGTACCAAATGGGCATCTTGAAGAAGCCTACCGGAACGGACGATGTTGTCAACAGTGGATTCCAGAGCCCGAATTTGAACGAGGGCCAGATTTACGGTGGCTTATTCCTTGAGGATTCAGCTGATGGCTGTATTAGCCTATAGATAGTGGACGTGGTTGTGAAAGAAAGGGGCGAGGTTTTTGCGGTGTAATTACTACTTACTACGGTTTATACAAACTTCATTCAACAAGGTATCCAAGGCATTAGGCTATAGAGTCCCCTCGTTTCCAAGTGCCGTCCATCGGCCAATGTGGTGTATGCCTTTTATCGACTGACAAGTTCTTGCGGAGCACACTGCCCCGTCTAACATGACTCATTGCACGCATCAATCACAGCGCACCTCATATACAAAACCAGTGCGTGTGTGCGTGAGTCCCTCCATTCCCCCTTCACCATCCCTATCCCCGTCCAGAAAACAAACGCCATGCCTAGATATGCCAGCAAGCAGCCTCAACGCCTCCCTATACATGTTGTATTGACCAGCAATGCCCTAATTTGCCCGTGATGGTATCAGTTTTGCATAATCTGTGGAGTCAACCATGTAGCCTCGTCACATCCTGCGTAAAACTCCCTTTGCCCGTTCTTGTCCTCGACACCGAAGCCGAGACTCTGTAGCTTGCCGGTATCCCAGCCTGAAACGAACTCACCCTGTCCGCCATTTTCTCGGTCGACAGCATCGCCGAGCTTGATGTAGTCGGCGTGACGGCAGACGGTCTGCGAGTAGGACCATTGGAGGCAGTTGTTGTCGGCGGCGCATTCGGAGCCGCATGAGCCCGCATTGCGATGCGCAGGCCGGTCGTTGGGCACGGGAGCCGTGGAGAGATTGTCCCACCACTCGCGAGATGGGCCTTGAGAGAGGAAGGAGTGTGTGTAAGAGAGAAGCGAGGAGTAGGTGAAGGGTTTCTGCAGTGCATTAGTTAGCCTAGCATCCAAATGACTATCCTGCCTCGATCGTGCGCAAGACATACCGTATTGTATTGCCGCGTCCGCTCCCACTTCCACAGGTTTTCCATCTCCTCTGGCTTGAGCTGGTGCAGCGAAAGCATGGGAACACACCAGCGATCGCGTGTTGTAGTGACGGTCTTGAGAGGGTCGCTTGCAAAGGTCGGGTACAGCGCCTGGAGCTTGTGACCCGTAGCATTCTGGATGGCATAGGCAAGGACGGCGTCACCACGCTGCTCTTCCTTGACCCAGCTCTCGAAGCGCGTGGCCAGCTTGCTCTCATGCGCAACGTCGGGGGCCCCAACAGTCTTGGCCGGGATGAGCTGCTTCAGCAGGCCCTGAGAAAGGACGATGCCGGCACCGCCATAGGCGAACCAGCGGCCGTCGGAGCCCTTGTGTGGGGCGCCCAAGTAATGCGGTTCTGCGGCGTCAAGCTGGCTGAGCAGGCGGAACAGCGTGTCCCAGAAAAAGTAGACGTCCGACTCGAGAAAGACGAACCATTTAGCTGTGGGGTTGGCCGCGTAGGCCTTGTCGACCATGGGCAGATACTTGAAGCGGTCGAGCTTGAAGGCGCGCTGCTGTTCCTTGACCGTCTCGCCCTCGGTGTGGGCTTTCTTCTGCTCGACGTAGGCCTTGAAGTCGGGGTTGTTCGTCTCGTAGCTCTTGGGCAGTTCGGCCAGGATGTCTATGATGTGGCGATCGCCCAGGCGCTCCTCGCTGTCGCCGGCGATGATGAGGTTGGTGATGCAGCTGGAGACGGTGCTCAGATGGGCCTTGGTCGTCGACGCCTCGCTCGAGGCCACCTTGAGCACCACCTGGATCTCATCGAGCAGTTTGACGGGGAAATTCTGGCAGTAGTCGAGCTCGATCGAGTTGGCCGATTTGCTCTCGAGCGGCGGGAAGAAAGACTTCGTTTTGGTCTTGTGCACCGGCGGCTGGCTGTGTGGGGTGCGGCGCGAGAGTGTGAAGACGAGGAAGAAAACGAGGAGGCCGGGGAAGATGAATCGCCATGGCCGTCGGGCCAGGCGGCCTACCAGCGGCTTGAGCATCATCATCATCGCGGTCGTCGTCGTCGTCATCAGTTGGCGTAGTCGTAGAAGTTGGTCGGGCGATATGGAGGCAAAAGGCGAGGGGAATCTACCACTCCTCCTCTACCTACTCCTCTCAGAGTAACAACGGGCGTGGGTGGGCGAGAACGACGGTGCGATGGCGCATTGGCTGCTCAGCGGCGTCGAAGAAGAAGGGAAAAAGAGGGAAATCGGCGTCGTCTAGTCTCTCGATTCGTCTCGTAATGTCACGGGTTGGGTCTTCTTCGCTGCTCTTCTTCTTTTTCGTCTTCTTCTTCTTCTTCTTTGATTTCTTCGGCTTCGCTTCCTTTTGCCCAAGCATCACCGCGCTCGAATCATGTCGTCCGTCCCTGAATCTCCATGACGCTAGCCTCAAACGGGCCTAGGCGCTCCATCACCTGTCGACCCTCAGCCCTCAGCTTTCACACCCTTCCCTCAACTCTTACTCAGCACTCAGCTCTCCGCATCTGCAATCTGCCGTCTGCACAGCTCCAATCAACAAATCATGGAACTTCCATCTCCATCATCTGTTGACATATACACAATTGGGGCCATCATGCTGCGACTCTCATTCGAACACCGTGCACCACTATGTCTCCAGCCTCGCCCTCGACCACGCACATGAGCGCTCACAGCACTCAGCAATGGTCCTGAGACTCATCTTCCACATCAGACCATCCTGGTAAAACATCGAATTCGCAATCAGACAACAATGGCCTAGCATGCACCTGCTCAGAAGCTCCAATGCATCTTGGTGGCTCCAAGACAGGGTGTAAGTCTTGCCTCATCTCTGTTTTAGGCTCTGTACCATACCCAAAAGCGACCGTGTGATATTCAAGCTCCTGTGAGATGTCACTGGAATACCAGGAAGATGACTTTGACGATGCTACATCGAGGGCTCTTCTGGGGCTATCTTTGCCAACTCCCATACCAGACCAATCTAGCAAAGCATCGAATGTGGCATTGCTGTGATTCATTTTTTGTCGGTTCTTGACTGATTTTCCAAGTGTAACCCCTTTCGGAATTGAATGCATTGATAGATTACCAATGGCTTCCTCATTGTCGTCGGTAACCTCGTCTTCCACATCAGACCACGAAGGCAAGGCTTCAAACTCTGTCATGCTGATTACAGCGGACTTGCTCATCACTGGAGCATCATTTGACGGTTCAGGCGGGTCTCGAGCGTGCCCCTCAAGGTTGGATGGCTCCATTTTATCATCCTCCATCATGTCGTCTCGATGCGCGAGACTCAGCAGACTTTCGAATGCATGCGACTGGTGGTAGTCCCTGCAGAGGGCGTCTCGGTAAGAGAGAGTGAACGCGTATTGTGGAAGAGCGGACACATCCAAGTAAGAGATGCCCTCATGGTCACGAGGAGCCAATCTTCCAACAACATCGTTCCATTCCTCCATTTCAGCGTCACTAAACATCGCCGCCCTACCGCAGGTCTGGCAAACAGAAACATCCTTATCGTATTCTTGCTCAGGGCAACGCGCATTCCAATACGCAACAGCACATGCAGTGTCATTATTGCCGCTCATCAAGCCTAGCTGTCCTGAGTCGCCATGAGCCATCAACTCCACTTCCCCCAGTGGACGCGTTCCGGCCAAATTTTGCATCGTAGCCGGAGAACGTGGTGGATCGAAGCCTGTTTTATTGGGTCTTATATCGCGAGGCTGCTCTCCACTTTTCAGTTCAATAAACGGCAGCGGCGCGCCACTACAGCCTTGAAATCGACTGTGATATCTCCAGCATACCAGGCACAGCGGCTTCCTATCGCGGGTATTTCCGTCCCCAGGAATATCAGGTGTCGTTCTCGATCTCAACCCACTAGATCTTGTAGTGTAAGAGTTAGCCATGATTGGCGACATCACTCTGTAGCAGTCTGTGCCACAATGTGCGCATGAACTACGCCTCTTTGGAGATGAAGGTGCAAAGCGAACGTAGATTGTGCGAAGTTGCTGTTTGAGTCTCTTTAGGCCAGTCGGTCGCTGAACAGCATCGTCATCATGGCGTTTGACATTATGTCTGAAGATGCGCCACGAGGTTAATTGAGGTGAATGATGCATTGTTGAAGACGGTGGAGATAGATTGGAGGACTAGATGATGCCCCGGGTGTCTAGAAATGACGTGAATTAGAAAGGCCGAAAAGGGGCGGTGCAGCCGTTCAAATACGTCTGTGACTGATGAGAGGTGAAGTTGGGCAGGCAGCAGAGCGTTTGCTAGAAAGTTGCGTCGCTGGCATATTTCATCACCTGGGTGACGGCTTCAGCCTAGCTTACAGAGTCTCTGTGCCTTCTCCGAGTCTGAATGCATTGTCTCTATCACAGGAGCCATGAAAAGGTTCGCGCATGCTTGCATCAAATCAGTATGTCATATTCGGTAATACATATATATTCTGATGCTTCTCACAACATCAGCTGCATCCTACACTCTCCTGTGCTACCTTCAGCCTCACCTCACCTCCTTCACACCATCGATCCAGATATCAACATGCTCATTGTAAAAGCACAAACAGCCCGCCACCAACGCACTTTCACTCGTGGGATACCTATAATACCAAACCAAGTCCCTAAACATCCTCCCCTTCACCTCAACATGATAATACTCTGCTCTTCCCTTGTAGGGACAGAGCGTCGTTGTCTGACTTGGCGTCAATACCTCCCAATTCACACTTGTCGGCGGCACATAGTATCGCGTACGTAGCGTCGTCTCGAGCAGCAGTAGTGGACTGGAGGTTTCGGCGAGTGTGACCCCATCAAGAGCAACTTTGATATGTCGGGTGGAAGGCAAGATGTCTATGCGTTTGTAGGGGTCTTTTGGGTGGCAATAAATGGGAACTTCTTCTTCGAACCATTGGGTGATGGCATTGAAGTCGACTTTGACGAGATTCTCGAGAGCTGGGGTGTTGAAGATTAGCACGCGGGGTGTGCTGAGGTCGGCAACGGTTAGGCAGCCAAGGTGGGCGGCATTGTCTGCATCCTCTATGGCAGAGAGCTTTTTGAGGGTGGCGTCTTTGGTGAAATCTGAAATCGGGATGTAGTATCTAAATAATACCGACTTAGATGTGGGAATTGGGGAGAGGGTGGCAGTGCGCTCTTACTGAGGGAAACGAGAATGTTCCCAGACGTGAAAGGCGCCAGTCGTGTCAAATACATATTTTCCATTGAAGAGTCCCCGTACGCGTCGAGATGTCCGTTCAGCCTTATGGGGTCCTTTTGCTACAAGCAGTTTTGCCAATTTCTCAAGGCTGATTATTAGGTAGTTAGCTCAGCAGTTCGCATGCAAGGTAGTTGGAGTTGAGCACACACTCGATAGTATTTGTCATTGTTTGGAATCTCCCTTGCACGACCGAGAGATTCTGTTGAGATTTCGTTTTTGAGGATAAAAAGGCCTTTCAAATGGGAGATGTCGGGTTTCATCTGTTCTAGAGACTAGAAGTGATGATGTCTACAGTATGCAGCGGGTGTGAGCGGGGTTGAATGAACGGCAGGAATAGCCGAGGGCTCTGGTGTGTACTGCATCTGCTCAGATTCTGCTGTGAGAATCTGGCTGTTGAGGTATGTTATCTTTTAGCATCTTGTGGATGATCAGACTTTCACTATCACAGCTTGCAAGTAGTTTAGTTCTCATGCACGAAGAGTCGTGTAAACAGAATACCTGGAACAGTATCACTGGGTATGGTAACTATGATAGACCCACAGTCGGATGATGTGATAGTTTCCAAGATGATCTTGTCAAGCACACGAGACCAAAGTACGGCTTGCGTAACTTTTGCTCAAAGATGCTACAAGTCCGTGATACATGTCCAAGTGGTAGGATGAAGGCACAGCGGGTTTGTAGCTCGACTGATTCGTCGATAGCTATGTGTGCTTTGTACATTAAGCTGACGTGCATGTATACAGATTTTCAAGCTTATCATTTGCTCCAACATTATGGTATGTACCCTTTGTGTTTATGTTCAACCAAATTGGTTAGGTGAGGAGCAAGCGAAAGCGTCGAGTTAAATCGTCCGGTGTGGCGCTGGTCCTGGTCATGAGTCGCGTGCGGGAGAAGAAGCTACCATGGTACAGGGAGCGGACTATGCTGCTTCAAGAGAGGTCGTGCGTGTGAAACGTGAAACAATGCCTCAGTAATGCCTCAGTGCCCAGAAAGCTGATTAAGCCTTGGCTCTGGGCAGGGGTGAAGTGCGGTCTGGGCAGGAGGTAAGCGTCGGAATCAGGATCTGCCATTTGTCTTGGGTGCTTGATATGTGCACGGAAGCATGGCGACATGTAGTACCGTAGGTAGTGATTGCTGACGTGCCAAAGAAGTGTGAGGTCATGTACATAGGTACTGTAGCTGGGAAGCGCGCTTCCTCGAGCACGCGTGCAGCATAAGGCAGCGCCCACCTTCACCACCACACACCACCACTGCTACTACCACTACCGACAGAGCACACCACATCAGCAGGGCCGACAAAAGGCTAAAGCCAGCTGCCATTTGCTGTCACCTGCCAACCAGTGTCAGCGCCATCAGACCACAACATTCGTTGCCATGCGCTGGCCCCTGTCCCTCGCTCGTGTCTGCGCAACCCCATGTATTTAATGTAATCATCGAATAAATAGCTACCAATCCCTTTTAAGTCTTTGATAGCTCGGACTGTGCTCGATTTCAGTATTGAAATGTGAAGTTGTATCTTCCTTCGCATTTCGTTGGCCGTAGGCACTAAGGGTTTCCGCCATCGCTGCCCTCGATTTGACACCACGGCCAAGAGCTGCTGGACCTCGCTTTTCATAGCCAAGTATCGTTTGTCGTATTGTTTTAACGAAGGCGTCGCTCTGTTCTTGCAGCCGTCTTTTCTTGGAAACGGGCATGAGCTGTGGTTGGTAAAGTCCGTTTCCGGGTGGTCCTGGGCGTTTCAGCCGCCTCAACTGCCTTTAGAGGGGTCCATGATTCGCAGATGCGGTGATGCTATTTCCATATCACATACTACTTCTTCGCCTGTTCGCGGCTAAGACCTGGCAGATCATGGACAAGTGCCCGCCCGTGGAAGTGAAGGTCTGCATCATAGTACTTGGATGCAGTGACAGCACTTTGCTTACACAAGCCCATGCAACATCCTTTGTCAGCTTGCATAGGAAGTTAAGGCGCGGTGCACGGAGGCCAAGTTAGGCGAAGCATCCCCGCCTCCAGGGGTGAGCCGCATAGGTAAGCGTCAACAAGAAACGAACGTCGGGATGCACATACAGAGTTCAGAAGCACCTTAGTCTTGGCCTTTTCATAACAAACGTTAAACAGTCCGATGACAATGATATAAATGGCCTATATACAGGTAAGCCAAAGTAGGTACAGCCAAGGGCAACGATCAGTAATCTTTGGAGTGTAGCCGGCTCTAGCTAATGTAGCTAATAACTTACTTGAGTCATTTCATCTCCCTTTGCCCTGGCCTACAAAAGATGGTGCCAAAGGTAAGAAGGGCTTGTAGTCACGTATATTGTAGATTACTTGAATAGTACAATCTCTAATGTCAGCTAAATTCAAGTACCCCGAGGGTGTGGGGAGTACACAGTAAGTTACTATGTACATGTAGGTCATTGATGAATCATGACATGTAGACTGGCCTCAAGGAATGATCGTCCATAGTGACCGTTGCTAATAATGGTATTTGGTAAATTAAGGAGAGAGATCTCTGAGAGAGAGATCCGTGTGTGTGGTCCCCTTTGTTGTATCATCAGGTATAGTGGACTCGCTTAAGGCTTGTTATGGCATCGCCTGTCCCACCTTAGATCCAGGCTAGGGCGTCACCATGTCTAATCCTCTCTAAGCTCAGGCGCCCAGAGGATCTACCCATGCCCATGCTCAGGGCCACATCCTTCAATGAAAACTTCGGGTTCCCAGCATGGGAAATAACAGTGCCGCCCCGTGAAGGCCTGCATGCCGAGGACGCCACCAAACTTCCTCCTGTGTCATGCCTTGCCTCGCTAGGTTCTTCCCCCACCCGGAAATAGACGTATAGTCACCAGTGCTCCCGCTGTCGACTTCACCTACTACCGCTTCCGTCTTCTCCTACCGTCGGCTTGTAGGAGTTGCGACTGATTGTTGCTCTGGAAGTCTTCACTTCCGTACATTCGCTTTTGCAGCCGTCTCTCGTTATACAAAGTCTATCATGCTCATTTCTACCCTAATTGGCCTTGTGGCCGGACTGGCTCCTGCGCTTGTCGATGCTGCCTGCAGTGGTCCTCTGAAGATTGACGATTTCTCAAAGTACGCCTCGAACCAGAACAGCCTTAATTCGTGGACTAGCGGTAAGCATGTGGTTCCGTTCCCAAACGTACACAATCTCTAATCAACTCAGATGATGGCTCCATGGCTAGTATTAAAGCCTCCGGCGGGGTCTTATCATTCACCCCCAAATCATCCTCATACTTCTACGAGACATTTCCTTGCCAGCAGGCCAAGAGCAATGGTTACAACTCCGTCACATTCCAGATCAAAGGCCCAGCTGGCGGATCGGCTACACTGGAAATTCAAACCAAAACGGCTTGCTCGGCCACGGCATACACGTCCAAGTTCATTCAGCTGTCTGGCCTCACCGGGAGCCTCCAGACTATGACTGTGCCACTGACCCAGTTCGCTGGTGCCAACCTGGATGCTGTTCAAGGTTTCGTGTGGTCGGGTTTCTCTTCCACTACTTCCGCGTGGCAGCTCAGTAATATCGCGTTTGGCTGTGGTGGAGCTGTTGCCAGCCCCTCAGTAAGCAAGGCTTCGAGCTCAATGGCCCGTCCTAGCTCTACGATGGCAACAGTCGCATCGCCATCGCCCTCTTCCGGAACCTGCAAGAACTTATTGATCGACGACTTTATATCCCAGTCTCGTTTGACCTTCATGTTCTACAATGCTTTCAACTACCCTACTGCTTCCGATGGAACCATGAAGTCTGTGACCGTCGGAAAGCCATCCGCCAACCGCGTCGAGTTTGTTCCCAACACCCCCGGGGAGGCCTACTTCTACAGCCAAATGCCCTGCACCAACGCAAAGGGCAAGTACGGCGGTATTTCTCTTCGCATCAAAGCGCCCAGGGGCACAACTCTTAACCTGCAGCTTGATTCGTCTGCAACCTGCGACCCTGAAAAGGTAGTATCAGGTTATGCTTCTACTGCAGATCTTGGTTGGACCTTCGACGGCACTGAGAAGCTGTACTCCATACCCTTCTCCAAATTCCCTAACGTTGACCTCGAGAAGCTCGTCACTGTGCTATTCTCTGGATTTTCCAACACGGTTTCCTTTGGCCCCATGTCTCTTTACTGTGGTAACACTGTTTCGGAATACGTTGTCCCTACCGTTCCCGCCCCGCCAGAATCTGTGGCCACTGTTCCTGCTCCCAGTAACCCATCTGCTAGCACTCTGGTCATTGACAAGTTCGCCAACTCCGGTAGCAACGCTTTGGGTTTCTGGCACGGTGGCGACGAGGGCATGAAGCTCACATACAACGGTGGTAAGCTCCAGATCGTTTCGGATGATGCCGACTATGCTTTCTACACCCAAGTCTCCGCTGGCTGCAGTGATTTCACCAAGTACAAGGGTTCATACTTGCACATTGCCTACGAGGGCTCCACTAAGTTTACCGTCGCCTTCCAGCAACATAACAGCAAGTGCGATTCCAACATCGCTCCCTTTCCTGAGACTTGGGACTCTGCAGAAGCATCACGCTACGCTCGCAATGGTCACATTTACATTCCCATCAACCACTTCAACATCAACTTGTCCCGCGTCATCGGCTTTTCCCTCAAGGGTTTCTACAGCTCTGATCCTGTCACGCTCTCCACCATCGAGATTGTATCTTCGGTCCCTGCTGGCACCACCATTCCCGAGAAGGCCGCGACCGGCAATCTAGGTCGGTAATAAGTACGGAGAGGAGATTTGCTTTCGCCATTGATGACGGTATTCCATCTCTTGCCCAGGAAGTGCTCAAGATCATTCGCGAGGAGAACATCAAGGTTACCTTCTTCACCGTCGGTGCTCCTCTCGTCGATTCCTCGACTAACCTGACCAATGTCTACCGTGAGATGCAGGCGGCTGGCCACCAGTTGGCCCTCCACTCGTACACTCACCCAAAAATGGAATCACTTCCTGATTACGCTGCCATTGACTGGGAATACAACGAGGACATCAAGGCCATGAAGAACTCCTTCAACGGTCTTGACACTCCCTACTTCCGTCCTCCCTTTGGTAACGAGGGTGCCCGCATGCGCTCGCGTCTGGTCAAGGCAGTCGGTCCCAAGGCCACCATTGTCAACTGGTCTGTTGATGTTGAGGATTGGTTGTGGGCTGAGACCAACACCCCCGAGCAGCAGAAGGTAGCTTTCCAGCGTGATGTCGACAAGGGCGGTAACCTCGTTGTCCTTCACTACCTGTACCCCTCCACCGTCAGCTACCTTCGCGAGTTCATCCAAATTGCCAAGAAGACTGGCAAGCAGCTCATGCGTGTCGATCAGTGCATGGAAGACCCCTCTGCTCCCCCCCTATGAGTAATTGTTTAAGTGTTTTGTTGTTGCGGATGTTGATAATGCAAGGGAGGAAAGAAGTTCTTCCGTGAAAAACTCTAAGCATGTCTTGACAGCCAATTTTCGTAATGTGCAACTCATAATAATTCATCAATGTTCAAGGCCTCATTCTCCCGATTTTACGCTTCACATGTTATTCGTTGTCTTTTTCAGTCGTAGGCAGCAGATTACACTACCCCCAAGTCGGTTGTGAGTTCAAGTCCAATGCGCATGATTTTGACAGGAAAGTGCGATGACGCTGGCTACGCTGTCCGAATCTACAATATCTGCAATTATCACATATCCTGGCAGAAACAAAATCGAAGAAACCCTCGCGGATAACGTGAAAGCTGTGCCTAGGCGATGGATTTGTTGCTTCGAGATGTGAGTTGTTGTGGCAGTAACCATCGGATGTCATGCATGCTGGGCCATCTTTTGATTGAGCATTCAAAGGAAAATAAATGGATGAGACTGTGACTCTACGATGATGTTTTCACTGTGCTCGGTGTGGGACCCGGGATCTTCATGATGGGTTACGTTACCGGTACCGGTAGATGGGCGGGTGTTCTGAACTTCTCTTCACGTTTATTGATAGGTGTAGAATGTATGTAAATGCTGTTTACGACTACAAGACCTCGAGCCTCCTGAACAGCATAACAAGAGTGGATAGAAAGGGACACGATAGTGGAGAACAGGGTTTGGAAGGAGTAGATCAGACTTCGCTGGAGAGGCAGCTGCGAAGAGAGTGGTATGCAAATACATATGTAGAGACGGCCTAGCTGACCTCACGTTCTCCCACTTTTCAAAGGACGGCTTCTTTCTGTTAACCAGCTCCGAGCTTCCAGCACC